TTAAATTTACAAAAAAGCTTTACTTTAAAAATTTTTGTTAAAGAGAAATATTTAGTATTATTAAAAATACTAAAATTCTGATAAATTTCTTTAATAAAATTGGTTTAAAATGTATTATTTTTAAAAATAATATTTTAGAACAAAATATATGATATATTCTAAATAAATATTAAAAAAAAATTTAGGTTAATTAGTAAAATTTTAGATTTTAAATTAATCAAGTTTGTTAAAATTACAGACAAATTTGTCTGCAATTTTAATTAATTTTAATTAATTATCACTTCAAACTTTTACTAATTCATCTAAATTATTTTTTGATATTTATTTAGAAGCCATCAAAGACAAATTAAAAACTTTTAAAAAAAATAACATTTTCATGTGACATTTTTCAATGATTAGGTTGAGAAAAGAAACAGAAAATTTGATTTTTAAAAAAAACAAACATTTCTACTCAATTATTTAAAATTATTCTAAGGTAAATGGAAAATAATAAGGATTGGTAAAATTAAATTCTGCAGATTCTGCAGTATATTATTTATTAAAAAAAATAATAATAATAAAAATAATGCTTTAATAGCAAGACTAACATTTTATTAAATAAAATAATTAAATAACTCATTTTATTAGATATTAATTTGAGCCTGAGTCACTATCAAAATAAAAAAAATATTTATGATTCAAATATTATTAATAGATTGACAAAAATAATTTATATTAATAGATCAATTATTAATTTTCAAAATTGCAGGCAAATTTGCCTGCAAAACCATTAAGGGGATAAGAGACAGAACTTATATTTTATTATTCATCGTAGTTTACATGTTTCTTTATTCTTTCTTTTTATGCTTTGACTTACATTTTCCCCTCTATTTAATAATTTATAGAATGAAAAAATAAAAAATTGATAATCGACGATTCAAAATAATATTTTTTATTACATTATTATCAATCTTTATGAATCCAACTTATCTAATAATGAGTTATTAATTACAAAAATTTTTAACATGATTTAATGATAAAATTATTTTGGACAAAAATGCGCACGAACTTTATTACTTTTTTTAAAATATTAGTATTTTCTTATATAATAAAAACTAAACTAATTAAATATTCTGCATGTGTTCAAGGTAAAAGTAATTGCATAGTTTTTTTGTTTAAAAAAAAATATTTAAGAATGTTGTAGTGTAGTAAAAACATTTTTTTGAAAAATATTGCTCGGCGCAATTTTTATATTTATTGATAATTAAGGTTGTCTAATCCCATTTGACAAAAGTCAGAAATAATTTGATTTAAATAAATTTAAAGGTTTTTAACCCACTAGACAAAATTCTATTTCCTCCTAGGTAGGAATTTTATTAATTTTATTTGAATTGTACTCATTTAAATAATAATTTTATTTATTTCGTTTTTTTATTATTGGAATGCTTTTTTTTTGAACAAATTGGGTATGTTCTCCGGACAAATAAGACATGTTTTTATCGCTCGAACAAACTGTTCTTGGATCAAGAAAATATATATATATGATGTAGTAAAAAAAATCGTTGTTAATTCACCCTATTTTATCTCTTTAAGTTTAAAAGTTTAGTGATTTTGTAATAGTTTAGTTTTAATAAGCGAAATTCAGAGCGTTGACATTGAAGTGGTACTTTGATTAATTGATTAATTAATTTTTATTAAATAAATTTTATGCATACTTAACTAAATCAAAAACATACTGCTTATCTTTTTCTTTGTATTTTTTAAAATATAAATGAGAATATACGATTTGATGGGTTTGCCACCCGTCGAAACTTTCGCGGTTTTGCCTTAAAAAGAAAATTTGCTAAAACGACAAACTGGTTTCAATTTTTACACCTGTCATAACCACAGTATTTTTTTTAGAAAACATTAGTAAAGTTTATTAAATTTATTAATAATAACCAAAATTAGTCTAATAAAATGTAATTCGATTTGTAAAATCAAGTTCAAATAAATTTATTATTAAGGTTTCATTAAAGTTACAACAAATTTGAAAAAAATATAATAAACTGCTTCACGCGAAACCCTACATTATTATTATATTTAAATTTTCAACATGGACTTATTGTCTAGAAAGCCGACATTGGACAAATTGATTGAAGTAATTTACCTAATAAATGTGCCAAATTAAATAAATTAAATAAAATAGGAACCTTTTTAATTATTATAGCATAGATTTTTTTTTAGATGTTACCCATCACTGTTAAATCCTTTGGTTTCTACAAACGAATCTAGTTTATTTATTTATTTTTAGACTAAACCGCGAAAGTTTCGACAGTAAATTTGAATACACATCCTTTTAGAAATCCTGATTTATGCCAGGTAAGTGTAGATAAATAAAGTCAGTCAAACTGTACTGTACGAATGTAATATAACCAGTTATCGTTATACTTCATTGTAGATTATTTAATTAAGTAGAGTAACTTCGGTGAAGATTGATTACCATACACTTTCTAATTGCTATAATTCTTCAGTTTATATTATGTCAAAGTCAAACAAAAGTAATTTATAAAGTCAAATTAAAAATATTTATTCCATTCTTTTTGCAATCTTTCTCTTCCTCCGTGCTAGCAAACGAAATTTTAAATAAAACAACCTAACAAAAGAGACATATAGGCAATAAAACAAAATAAAGATGCTACGAAATGAGTTTAAAGCAATCTTTTTTTAATGTGACTTTTTAATTGTGAAAGGAGACGAAACGAAGTACAAGCTTCTTTTCATAAAACAACTAACATCCATAATTTTAGAATTGCAATAGATTCTTCACAAAACAATTTCAGATTTAACAAATGAGAGCCTCGATTACATTTTTTAAATTTAATTTATTAATAATAATTGTAAATAAAAATATATAATATTTAAATATGGGTTAGGACTAGGGTATGGAATTAGGGTGTGGGATTAGGATATGGATTAGGGTAAAATTAGTTTAGATTAGGGTTAGTTAGTTAAATATCAAATATAATTTTTTATGCTTATATTGTAAGATAATAGTTTAAATAAACTCTCTCCTAGACAAATTACTCCACGGTCAAAGTTTAACAATCATATAGAGATTGGAACCGGCTCAAAAATCCTTAACCGGTTAATTAACCGGTTCCAACCTCTACAATCATATTCTGCGTAATTATTATTTGATTTGGTTACAGTTTATATGTATTCTCCAAGCACAACCTGATATTACCCGTTAAATTTTGCAAATGTAGCTAGTTAAATTGAAATCGTGAACCACACACAAACCGAAGACAGTCGAAATATTTGAATCCTCAAAATTGTTTTCGACACGTTTGACTTTTGCCACCACAAAATTTTAATCATTACACAATATAAAATGACATTCACGAATTGTAATTTTAGACAAATGACTCTTCGAACCGTTTCGAATGACCACAGACACATAGGAAATTAACATTATATGTACAAAAGTTGATTTACTAATTAATATGCCCTATATTTATCATTTGGATCATCCGAAATTTTTTTTTTTGGAGCATAAGAATAGTCATATTGAGAATCCGAATTGATTAATTTGATCAATGTTGGTCATTTGGGTAGGGTAGGTATGATCATTTGGGATATCATCTGGGAATAAATGCACAGCACATTTGGGACAAATGCATGTCCGAAACGATCTTCGCACATATATATATTGAGTCATAAATAAATGAATACTTGATTTTTTCATTTTTTTCATACACAGTACAGTAAATTAGGAGTTGAGTTTTATTTCATTTATTTATCTGGGTGCAGATCTCATAAATAAAATGATTAAATTTAAGCAAATCATATGATCCGAAATGTGATTTAAATATATTGCCTGAATAGAATTGCGTTCCCACATTCTTTGGGAGTTCTATTTAGAAAATTATTTTGTTTCGAAGACATTTATGGAATTCTTTTTAAATTCTGAAACTTTCTTAGAAAAATTTATGAAACGTTTAGTTATATTAAGAAAATAAAGAATACATAAAAGTTGCTTTTTGAATACCCGAAACGAACCTTTAATAATAATAATGAATTTATTAATGACAAAAATGAAATATGTTTTGAATGTAAAAAATATAGAATATCGTTTGAAGACAATGATGAGCTTTGTCTTGCTTGATATAAATCAAGTACAATCTTTTATTCAAGTGGAAATGAAATAATTGACGATTTTATCAAATATACACAAAATAATCTTTTTTATGAAGATTGGTGTAAAATGGAATTCGTTCCACATGATCGAATCAAAAATGTAGAATTAATTGGTGAGGGAGGGTTTAGTAATGTTCATAAAGCCATTTGGATTGATGGTCCGATGTTAAGTTGGAATAACAAAAAACACAAATATGAACGGGAATCTAATAAACAAGTTGCTATCAAGAAACTTAATAATTCTAAAATTTTTACTTCTTTGTTAAACGAGGTATATATTAATTTAATTACCATATTAAAATACGTATATCAAGATATCAATATTTTTTTTCAGCTTAAAATATTTTATCAATTAAGGCACACAAGTGTTGTTAACAATATAAATAGGTATTATGGAATTACGCAAGATCCTACGACAAAAGATTTTGTGATGATTTTGAATATTGTAACTTAGGAGATTTGACTCATTATATAGCTAAAAATTTTTTTAATGCTCGATGGTCAACAAAGTTAAGTCACTTAGATGAGATGGCAAGTGGTCTTGGTAACATTCATGACAAGGGTATTATTCATCGTGATCTACATAGTGGAAATATTTTAGTATATGAACGTTATAATAATAACAAATATACTAGAATAGGTGATTTAGGATTAAGTAAATCAGCTACTGAAGCTGACGATAATGAAACTTATGGAATTATTCCTTATATGGTCCCAGAGGTTCTTCAAGGGCAAAAATATACTAAAGCATCAGATATTTATAGTTTTGGTATGATTATGTGGGAGTATATGACGGGTAGAAGACCTTTTTGGGATCGTGCTCATGATACTGAGCTGATTATTGATATTTGTGATGGCTCACGTCCTTCAATTGGTGATATAGTAGCACCTAAAGGCTATATTGAGCTAATGAAAGAATGTTGGAACCCTAACCCAAGTAAAAGGCCAACCGCTTGAGTTATTTGGTATAAAATATTTAGCATTTCATGTGCTTAAGAGAAAATTCCAACAGATATTGTAGAATCATCAGAAATTGGACCTATATCAACAAAGAATCTAAGTGCTATTTATAAGTGTATACCTTTATTTTGCATGATAAATTCCGCAGAATCCACAAGAAGTTTACGAAGCCAATTATTGGATGAAATCTATCACACAAATATGACATTTCGAAATGTAAGATAATATAATTTGTAACATAAAACGAAAATCAACAAAAAAGGAAAAAAAAACACAAAACTAGTTCGGATGATGAAGGTTCGGAAGTTGAAAGATTCTTTAATTTTTTTATACTTTCTTATTATCATTTATTGATGAGAATATTTATATATTGTAAAAACTTTTCAACAAATGAAAGGAATTTTTTTATCAAAAACTTTCCAATATTCGAAACGATTATTTTTAAATAAATCGATCGTTTTAGAATACATGCTTCAGTGGGTTGTGCTGCCAACTAATTAATTCAGATTATACTATAATTAACTATAATTTATAATACATTTCCTATTAAAACAATGTATTTTAAATTTCTGATAACTTTCTATTATTTATATTCCAAATTCTGCAAAAATATTCTAAATTGTTATTTCTTTCGTGAACAGTTTGTTTTTTCCAAAAAAGTCCTTTTCACGCTTCGAAAATAATAAAGTAATACTCAACGATATATTTACATAGGAAAAAAAATTTTCTTTAGTATTTTTCAAAATATATTCTGTTCTAATTTTCTTTAGGTTATTATGTATTCATTTAACTTTTATATTCTTTGAATGCTAGCTAATTAAATAAAAGATATAGAATTTTTAAGATTTAGGATTTTTGCCTCCAATCTCAAGACGATCTTGTCAGTTGAAAAAAAGCCCGTAAAATTAGAGCCAAAAAGTCAGAAGCAAAGAAAAATGACAATAAGAATAATGAAGTGGATAGCCAACGAAATAAATTAACAGCTGCAATTCAACAATTATCTGATAACGAGCTATTCACCTTATTACAACTATGCGTTATCCAAAAGGTTTAAACGAAAGATGCCAGAAGTTGCATCAAATATTTTTAATTGTATACTACTAGGCAATAAATAAATAAAATTATTATACGTTGGCATAATATACAGTAAATTAAATCGCATTAGGAAAATATTATGGGTTCGACATATTACCAATGATTTAAATAAAAAAAAAATTTATCAGTAAACTTTTATCTGGGTCCATATATAGTTTTGACTTAATTAGTTGGCAGCGCACCCCAATGCGTCACCGTAGTTTTTTAAAAAAAATTTACTAAAATATAAGTATATATTGGTGTTTGCTATTAAAATCAAGTTACGGACATGATAAATCATATGGTCAGTAACATGATTTTAATAGCAACTCCCATATTATTTTCTAAGAGAGATAACTTAAAAGTGGATTCTTTTTTTTTTTGTAAATAATGTTGCATTTTCTTTAATGTTTATATTTATAAACGAATGTAAAATAGCAGAAGGATTTATTAATTATGTAATAATGAATCAATAATTATTTAATAAAAAATGTTCCCCGTTTACTAATCATTCTCCCATGATCAATATTTTACTGGATTTATTATCGGAGTTGAATTTTCCGGGAAAATATCAATGTTTCGTCATTACCGGGATATAACACTTGAAAATCGTACCGGAAATTATTTATCAATAGTGTTAAAATTATTATAATTCTAATTAAAATAGCCAGTCATTTTGATAATGACATCCGTTAAATCATTTATATTGCTATATATTCAGTCACTCTTTTTTTTTTTAGTAGCAGCCACTTGATTTTCTAATATAAATAAGAATAAATGTAATCGAATTTTATATCTCGGTCAGATTTTTTCGAAAATTTTCAAATGTTCTAGTTGTTTTTTCTGTACTTTGAGCACTTTAATTATTTTTTGATAATTGAAATTGCTTTTTCTAGTTCAATAATGTTGAGTTGTAAGTATTATTTAGAAGCTAACGGACAGTTATAATTGTTTATTATTATTTGATTTCGTTTTAATTTTTAAAAGTTTAAAAGTTTATTTATTGATAAAGTTAGTAACACATTTATTTCGAAATCATTTTTTATCATGGGCGTTAGCATCCATGAATATATTAGTTATTAAATGTTGATCGTTAACCAAGGGAATATCGATATTATCATTAAAATAAAACTAAATACTCGAACCCAAGTATCAATCCCGACTTTTTATACATAAATTGAAAGGACAACTTGCCCAGAGGGCAAGTTGACTAGAGGTCATTTTGGCCGGAGGACAATTCGTCCCGTGGTCAACTTTCTCAGTGGTCAATTTGGCCTACATCGATTTCCTAAATCTCAGATCAACTTGCGCAAATTACTAATGAAAAATAACAATAATTTAATACATGGCTTGTACAATTATTATTAGCCATTGTAACAATAGCGAGAATTTTTTTTAGATTCAGCATTAATAATGTTAATTTATAAAACTTCTTATATATACATATTTACATTTGATTCATTTGAATATGACAAGGAGAAATGAAGAACGAAAATAAGCGTTAAATCTCATTGATAATTTTTTCTGGTCGAGATATCATAAAACCGTTAAAGAAGGATTGTGGCTTATTCCAAGGTTAAAACTGTGATCATCTCTCAGCTTTCCCAAAAAAATCATTGCTTATCTTCATGCTTTTACCCGGATTTGTCTTTTCGACTCGACTAATGATTATTCGGCTTGCTGCTGAAGACAAAAAAAATGCCTTACCCCCATCATCCATCACGAATTCGAAAAAGAATACTGATTAAAAAAATATCGAAATCCGCACCAAAAAATAATAATAAATATAAGCCAATAGAACATACAACCAGAAAAAAAAGAACTAAGCTTTACATTTTCCAAGTTAAGAAAATAAGAACCCAAAAAATAATCATAGCTTTACAAAATAAAAATAAAAAAAATAATAATAGGACTTTATAACAGTAATACACACTTAAAAAAAGATAGAATAAAAAATCAAAAAAAGCTAAAATCAAAAAAAACTAAAAATTATGAAAAAATAAAAATTATTTACCTCATTTTATTTAATAATGAAATAATTATAAAAAATACTGATCAAAAAAAATGAAATCACGAAAAAAAAGTAAATTTCATAAAACAAAAGTTGCAACTTCTTTACCCTTATAAATAGATTAAATATAAATTAGCTATAGATTGTATAAAAAATTCTATTTTTTTTTTTTTGTAGTATATATAAAATAATTCTGCGACAAGATAATAGCATCTAAATTAAAATATACGAGAATGTATTAGCTGATAATAGTTGGAATTTAACTTACAAAAATTTATGTTTATTCAAGAGAAAAATAGAAGTTAAATTTTCTTACTACTCACTAAATTTATTGACATCATATAAAAATTTGAGAGTTTTTGGTAAATGAAAATGTGTTCACCTGATTATTTTATTGTTACCCAACTATTATTATTAAAATTTTCAGCTAAATAAATAATTAAATCTCCTGATTCATATGGTAATAGGAACTTGCGTACTTCTATTAAAATTAATTTTTAAATGTTAAGATAAAATATTTAGATATTCATCTAAAATCAAAGTTTCTAGGAATGTATGACGATACGGATTTTACGTACCAAATTGGTTTTTCAAAAAAAAAAAAAAATAAATATATAAAAAAATAATATTGAAACTTATTTTTTTTTTTATTTTTCGGAACGAAGCAGAGGACAATTTACTGTGTAATTAGTTAACCCTGAAAAATTCATTCCCTCCATCATACGTCACCTATTTATACCCTGCCCTGCTTATTTCCTTTTTTAACTATACAGAGACATTCTTTTGTAATTCATAAAAATAAAAATTGAAAAATAGCGCGACGGATTTTAAACGTTTCCGTTTACCTAATTTTATAAGTAACCTTTTATCGTTATTTTAAAAAGTTATGTCAAGGGTCGTTTGCTATTAAATCAGGTTATAAGACATCACCATCAAAAAAAAGTTCAATTCATGTGAATATATGTATAATGGGGCTGATTTTAATAAACCACCATTAACTTACACCCCACCACAGGTAAACCTAATGCCAAGCCATAAGGTAAAGGTGACGTTCGTGATAAATAACGAGTGACATAGGATTTTTAAATAGTAAAAAAACATGTTGGGTGTTGACGCAGTGTGACAAAAATTATAGTCACATGATCCGAGCTTTTTTTGAAAATTTACGATAATAAATCATATTGAGAAGCAACAACGCATAATTCTTTTACATTTTCACAAGTTTATTTTTATTGGTAGATTTTTTTTTTTAAAAAAAAAAAATAAAAATTGGTTCAGATAATTTATCATGAATAAAATCTCAAAGTTTATTTAACTAATATAATAAATATGGTTTGTCATAGTGAGCCTTTGCAATAGGAAAGAGGGAAACTGCCGGGAAAAATCAATTTTACTTTTATATGCCAAATATTATTTTCAGGCTAGAATATGGGAGCTGATCTATTAAAAATGGGTTACGGGAACTTTTTACAAAAAATGAGATTTTTGATTCATATTATAGT